ACTCATTCTGGACACAAGAAGCCAAAGAAGTTCAATGTCACAGTTGTCAGAGACGAGACCGCGCCACAACAATCGCCGGGAGCCAGAGGGGATTGTGGTCCTCTCGTATGCTTGTGTTTGGCGCGTTTGACGACGGGAAGCACAGAGTTTCTACCTCTCACCGATAGAGATAGAGCTGCAGTAGGCTTGTGGTTTCGGCATTATATGGCTAGAGCGATATTTTCGAGACGCTGCCTACCTGCATCCGCGTTATGAAAGTATCCATTGTTAATTGGTAAGTCAAATGCAAGTTTTGTTAACATATATACTCCTTTTGGTTTGAAAATGTTTGGTTAACTACCTAGAATTCAATAATTTGATGTTTGTAGGTTTTAGATGTGTAGGAAGTCTTGTTTGAGCAAATGTTTGGTTTCTGCATGTTAATCCTTAAGTGAGCTGCGTGAAATGGATGTACGAGTGCAAAAGTTGATTCATTGATTCAATAATTGATGAGGAAATAAGAATTATTATTATTTTTTGATTGTTTAATTGATTTGTAAAAAATGATTTGTAAATGTTGATTTGTTTAATTGATGTGTACATAATTCTTATTTGTGATTGTTTAATTGATTGAAATGTAATAGTTGATTTGTTGATTTTCAATCTGCATTATGTTGAAGGCAAAACAAACTATCGCAACACGAAACTGACAATCGCAACGAGAGAATCGCAACGCGAAAATGGCTATCGCAACGAGAAAATCGCAATGCGATTTTCATTTCGCATTGCGATTTTCTCGTTGCGATAGCCATTTTCGCGTTGCGATAGCCATTTTCGCGTTGCGATAGCCATTTTCGCGTTGCGATAGCCATTTTCGCGTTGCGATTTCCCCGTTGCGATAGTCAAATGAATGTCTAATAAGTGATAACAACTGAACAGATCATAGCAATGTTCAAACTCAAGTTACTAATACATGTCTAACTGAAAATGTTAAAAGTGCACACATAAAATACACATAATACAACGTTTGCATTTAAAAAGCACCTAAGTTAACAGTCCCAAAAGGTGAAGTCGGTTGTGATTGGGATTTTGAAGATGATTGTGAATTTCAGAATCTCGTTGCGAAAGTCAGAATCGCGTTGCGAAAGTCAGAATCGCATTGCGAAAGTCAGTATCGCGTTGCGATTTTGTATTATCGCGTTGCGATAGTCAGTATCGCATTGCGATTTTCCAAATTCGCATTGCGATTTACTTATTCGCATTGCGAATTGGGAAAATCGCAACGCGGAATTGTAAAATCGCATTGCGATAGTCATAATCGCGTTGCGAATCTGGAAACTGATTTGCGATAATGGAGATCGCGTTGCGAATTAACGATCGCATTGCGATTTTGTTGGTCATTTTTGCAAATCCGGAAAAAGTTGGTTAAAATCGTATATTATATGGGATTTTTGGTCACTGAGGTTATTTTCTCTAAATTGATTAGTTAAATGGGACAGTAGAAGCAATAATAACATGGAAGGTTTGACTCCAATTGGTAGTTCTACGTATGGGAAAACGAAATTTTCAGCTGTTCATGAATGGCCTTATTGACATAGAAACTTAGTGGGATTCTTTTATTTTTTAGTTTTACTCTTCTTGATTTTCGATCAACTCAGTGAGAGTTTTATACAAAATTATTTGTATTTTCCATTTACATTTAACTTGTTGAATTGCACGTCCAGCTCAGTTGGTAGAGCACAAGACTTTTAACCTTGTGGTCGTGGGATCGAGTTTCACGGAGGGCAATTCATAATTCGGAGGTCTCCCACGGAAATTGCTCTCAACCTGGCGTTGGGGGCAGCCAACTATCATACCTCCCCCTTATCCCATTATTTATGGGAATAAGGGTTAGCTAATTTTGTTGAATGTCCATCAGAGTTGACTAGATACGAGTATATCACTTGAATTTTTTATTTCTTGAAAATATGTGTTACAAATTCATTTTATGAATTAGATGTCGGAAACTTAAAAAATCACTTCATGATTAAGGCGGGTCAAACTCTTATATTTATTTTAGGTTTAATATGTTTTTAAGTGTATAAATTATACCTAAATTTGATAATAGATGTCTACAGATTTTTTCGCTCAAAATAAGTATTTAACATTTTTTCTGTTATAATTTTAGGTGTATGGACTATAATGGTTGTTAAATTCAGTCGTTAATTAACACATGTCACCCTCATATTTTTAATTTTTTTTTATTAAAAAACATTTTTTTTAAATTCAAATGTTTCAAAAATATCAAAATGACCCCAAAGATTTTGAAACCCAAATCATTCAATTCCTTTGCATGCTATTGTTGCCATCGTCGGCCGCATACCCAATGATTGTCGGACTCCATTACTGCCAGGTCCTTTGTCGTCACCCTAAAATGGTTGTCGGTCAAAAATCGGTTGCAAATCGTGCTTAAATTAGTAACAATCACATGCAAATCGTGCACAAATCGGTCGAAGACGGTGGTTCATCGGACTTTGGATTAGGGACGGTCAATAGTGGGTTCCGTCGCCAATGGGTGGGGTTTGTCGGAATTTGGGTTACGGATTTGGGAGTATTTGTGGGTTTTATGATTTTGGGGTGTTTTGTGAAAATAATTAAAATACAAGGTTTTTTTTAAATAATGATTTTAATTTTTTTAAATAAAAGTTTACAAAAAAACATGAAGGTGACACGTGTCTGTTAACGAAAAAATTTTATGGTCATTATACCATAGACACCTAAAAGTGTAACGGATAAAATATTATATACCTATTTTGAGAAAAAAAAATTAGACACTATTGTCAAGTTTGAATATAGTTTAAACACTTGTTTTTTTATTATACCTTTATTTTTTTATGGTCTTCAAAGTTTATATTAATGTAACTTGTCTTGATTGAAGTAGTTTGTATTAATGTAACTTATCTTGATTGAAGTTCTATGTATAAATGTCAGGTATTTCTTAAGTGTCGCCTTAAGCGATGATTTAATATTGTTTGTCATTTTTTTAAATTTAGATCTAAATAAATATGCTTACAATTTTTATTTTTTTATATTCTTATAATATTTATTTTTATGTCTTTATAGCATGATTGTTCGCATGCTTTTATGATATAATTTTATCTATCGTTATGATAGTTTGACGTTTCGTGTTATATTCATCATGGAGTATATCGTGATCAGGAAAGATAGATAGTCTCATATAGTTAATTAGACCCCATTTATGAGAATTTATCGATATATTCAGAATCATTTATGAAGTACTTTGTTAGATTTTCTCTCTCTCAATTCTCACACCTTCATCAATATTGTGTCTAGATTCAAATAGAGACATAGATTATTGAAAAATATTAGTTTTGTTTTAAAATATAAAACATATATTAAAAAGAAGGTTTTGATTTTATTTTTTTCACACCCTTTAAGTTTCTATGTTGGGACTGTATTATTTTAATTTTACCTTATCTTTTTACTTAATGAAAACCTGATTTTTGTGGTTAAAAAATCATCTCTTATATTATGTTTTATATATTTTTTATTCTTATCATAATTTTTATAATTTTATAGCACCTCTTTAGTACAACTTGACTCAATAGTTATAATTCTTGTTGGTGATTCTCAATAAAGTTTTTAATTTAATATTGGTAACTAAAATCCTCTACCTATCAACTTAATTTGAAAAACCTGTTATGTTTTTTTTGTTTATATACAATGATAATAAAATAAGATTGGTTGTTTTGTATTTGACAACTATTTTCCATTTCTTTCTTAATTATATGTTGTAAATATATAGGGTCAGAATCCACTTATACAATGTAATTTTTTTAGTTTTAAACAGATTTAGAATTATTGGATGAAGAAAAATAAATGACTGAGATTAACAATAGAAAATGAGAAGATATTAACTGGAAAAAAAAGAGTCAATCTTAATCATATATTTTCACTCATGCAACGGTCCTAAATTTGTTTAAAACTAAAAAAAAATTACATTGTATAAGTGGATCTTGACCCTATATATATTACATTGGTTTATGATCAATTTATTTCTTGGTTTAGGAATTACTTTTTGTAGTATACCCAATTTATCATCTTCGTTCTTATGGTGTTTTCGTATCAATTTAACACTCGAAGTTGTTTAATTACATCAATATTTAAAATATTTACTATTGTTTAGGGTTTTAAATTATATTTTATGGTCTAGGGTTTATGAATCAGGATTTAATTTTTTTAAGATATGGTTTATGGTTTAGATTTAGGGTTTAAGATGATACAATTAAATAATTTTGAGGGTTAAATTGATATGAAAATACCATATGAACGAAAATGATAAATTAAATATACTACAAAGACAAAAATAACACCTTAAACCTTATTTCTCTAATGAAATCAAATATTAATATTTATTCTATATACATATAATATTGTTAATATAACAGGACTTACTTTCTTGAATATTTACTGTGTGCATATTATATTAGATAATAATATTTTATCCAGTTTTAAATTGTAAGTTATTGCTCTTTTGTGAACAAAACTATCATTGTTGTTTTATATTAGTTTTGAATAATGTTTGTAAAATTTGAATTTGCAAGTCTTGACATAATAACACTTGTCATGAGTATCATATGCAAAAAAAAAAAAACCCCATCACGATGTTAAACAATGATCAACCATCTCCCATTCAAACAAGCCATGTTATGGTGTAATCGAGTTAGGCCATTCAATGTTTGAGATTCCTTCATAGAATATGATCATACAAAGAAATATAATAAAATATTTCAAAATATATATATAACAAATATTATTTATTAACGATAAAAAATAAATAACGTCAATTTTAATAAAGATTTTAATCTCAATAATGATAATAGATTATAATATATTGACAAGTGACTATTTCTAACCAACAAGTAAAACATTATTACATTCACAGCTTTACAAACTGGGGAAGATGTGAATTCAGAAACACAGCCTCAAAATATATGCAAAAAACAAGTTCGTGACCCATTTCTAAAACAAATCCGATCAAGAAACCAAATGAAGACGAAAGCAACTTTGAAATTCAACGTCTTGCTTGTTTTCAATGCTCTCTAGTCTACCTGTTACCAGTATTCTTACCTCCCCTGTTTTCACCATTAATAGCATTAGCAGCAGATGATGAATCCCGTTTCAATTCTTCAATACTCTTCCTTGTTATCATCATCAACCTTCCCTTCTTCTCCCCTGACTTGGTCCCCTTCCAATTCCACAACGAAACATCATTCCCCTTTGACCATTTCTTTCCCGGCTGCTTCCGGTTCTCTTTCCTCGAAGTTGCTGAAAATTCAGGCACTGGTGGACCCAAAACAGAGGAACATGTCCTAGGAATCCCCAAACTGGAACTGGATTTCACTAGTTCCTTTTTCTGGGTTTGTTGAAATTCGATTTCTTCACTTTCTCGTTGCTTCCCATGTTTCATTCTCAGCCTTGTTTCTCTCAACTCTGCATATGCCCTGTACCCGGGACCTCTTTCCAATATATAGGTGTCTGTTGTAAGCCGTAAAGGAATTGGGTTAGTGGGGGTTGAATTCAGAGAGAGAATGAGAGAAATTGGGTCAAGTACATGACCGGCAGACTCTAAATACGGATTTGGCTGATGGGTTGGCCGTGGAGAGTTCTTTGTCCCTGCCATTTTTGGTGAATTTTTAGCTCTCCTATGTTTTTTTTGGTAGAGGAAGAGAGTCGATTATCAAAGAAAACAAATGGCTGAGTTTTAAAAAAATATTCTTTAAGTCCGTTTTCCTAAGTAATGAAATTTTAAAAGTAAATTTTTAAATATTTAAGATAGGTATAGGTTGCATAAAAAATATTTAATATCAAAACAATATTAAAAGTATAATTTTAGATATATATATATATATATATATATATATATATATATATATATATATATTGTGTACAATGATTTTCAATATATCATATAATTAAAATTAATTATTATTTAATATAATTTCTATATTATTTTACCTATAAATTAGAGGATATTAAGCACTAGCATATTTAATCTCATGTATTATTATATATTATTTCAGCGGCAATGTTAACTGAATTAAACTCAATCGATTAATTCAAATATTATAATCTAAAATTAAACTAAAAATTAAAATATACTTAAATAATTATAAAATGATAAAATAATTAAAATAATTTAAAATTATAAAAATAAATTATTATAATTAAAAAAAAATTATAAAGTATTAAAAATTAAATACTTTCCTCAGAAAAGTTTTTACCTGTCTCTTTTTAATATAAACCTTCTACTGTTTATTGCTTATATTTTTAATAAAATCAATCTTGCATTAGAGTAACAGTAATAATACCGGAACTATTTCAGGAATTTCACACTGATTCGATTTAAAAGGGGCAATTTTTTTATTTATTTATAAAATGTATAATGGTGGAGAGAGACAATTATGATAAATAATTACTCACTCTAACCAGTTTGACTTTAAAATTACGATTTTATCCCTCATAATATTTTATGTATCATATTTATATTTTTACAGTATATATATATATATATATATATATATATATATATATATACACCAATACCATAGATATGTGATACTTATTCTATAGATACTTATATTTTAATCTTTAAATTGAAGCCATTTATACATAAATGTATTTTTGATAATATATTTAAATTTAAGATCTTTCACGATATTATAATAGTAATGACAATCAAATTATCCTAAGGTATAATAATTTTTTTCTTTATTTTTGCAAATATTATTTATGGAATATATTTTTATATTTTTATTTATCATTTTTGTTGTTGTTCCGTCTGTTCTTGACAATATCGGCAATTTGAAGGCGTTACATTACTGAATCCCCTTGCTCTAATTCCACTTCATTATACTTTCGGTCATCATTTTTTCTTCCTCTCGTCATCTATTACTTCTCTCTTTAAAATGCATGCCTAATATATAGAGTTTTTTTTATGTATTTGCAGTAAAAAAAAATTTATAAATATATTTTATTTAAATATTATTTGAATAATTTTAAATTCTAATTCGTAATTTTAAAATTTTAAATTTAAATCCTAACTACTACACCTTAAATCTTCAAACATTTAATACTAAAGATGACATATTATTGCATTAAAATATCGTTTCTAGAATACATTGAGTTATCTCAGTAATAATAGATAGTATTATTCTCCTTAAAAGTTTTGAGTTTAAACAATTGCGTCTTCATGTGCATTGTCAATAGACTAAGAAATTCTATAAATAAATATTACATCGTAATTACCCAAACTATTAAAAAAAATTCGCTTGTGAGATATTTTTCCACCATCAATACATGAAATAATTTTTCACACACATATATATACTATCTATGTTGAGAGTTTATGATTATTCCTTTGAATAATATCGTCTGTAATGTTCGAACCTAAAATTCTTTATGGGAGTATACTCAACACTTATTGGTAGTACAGAATATATATGAGTTAAAATTAAGACATTGAGATATTAGTTAATGACAATTTATTTTAATTTTTTAATTATCTAATAATAATGATTAAAAGATTTATATATAATATATTGTAATCATCTCATTTATTTAAAATATAATAATAATGGGTCCTTTTCTTCTGCTTGATTAGATGTGGAATAAGGAAAGAAATGCTGGGCCTAAGGTTAATGGTATATTGGGATTCATAGATAATGTTGATATATATTTGTTTCAAAAATATTTATATTTGAGTTTGATATGGGTTAATCTATCAGCTTATTTTATTGGTTAAAAATTAAAAGTATAAACAATTTTTTATATTAATGTTTATATGTATTGATAATTAATTTAGATAAACACAATTTCTTATTTATTGTTTTATTCAATCCAGATTGAAGTTAAATTAATCATTGGTGCATAGTGGGATCCTCGATGGCTTTAGCCTTTAGGCCCTCAATCAGCTGTCAGCTTTACCAAAGCCATGAATAAAGGAGATGTTTTGATACATGTTTTATAGCAATTGTAGGTGTACGATCCCAGTCTGGATCTTGATTTTTAACCATTATTATTACTTATTTTTATTTACGCATTTGATCAATAATTATCGCATGGTTTTTCCTTTTCAACTAATCCAGTTAGAGTCCTTTGGTGATATCCTCTACTGCAGCCCCACATTTGGACTGCAAAACCTATGCCCAAATATCGATGATATTGTTGAAAGAAAAATATGAAGGGCACAATTTTCATAAGGAAAGTCTCATTCTGTCAAGCCAATACACTTCATTCCAAGTCCACCAGCTAAAGAATATTTTGAACCTTCGATTGATCCTCACTTTTTGCAAGGCATGCAAATACCTTGCAATGGCATGTTGTTTCAAATTGTATTGATCAGTACACCAATCACCATTTAAGGCCAAAATCGACTTACTCCGGCTTCCACTCATTATGCATGCATGAAAAATGCCTTGTGCTCTTATCACCTTACAAAGTTCATTTGCTTCTCACCTTCCGTAGCATGTAAGATATTGTTATGATCCCCCGTGGACTTTGGTGCAACAACTGTATTTCGATTCCCTACAAAAGGTAGGATAACCAGCCTACTCGTCCCATTCTACGTAGGTAACTACTTCATAACTCGTCCCATTCTTCTTTATTTCTACGTTGACATGCATGGGCACCTATATTATGTTCTTTATAAATAACCTTATTCTTTCCTTCACTATTTGAACCACTTGCCAGCTCCATCCTGGTCCTGGATTAACCATTATTACCATAAACCTGGGATGAAATGATCTTTACCACAACTGAAGACATCTCTTGTATGGAAGATTCCAAAATCCTTGCATTGGCATTCTTCATATCTTGAAGAATTGCAAAATGAGAATCACTCTTAATTCCACAAAGTCTACCATTTCCCTTAATTACAATCGTTTCCTTTCTTGATCACCTTCAACGACTATCCTTATATGCTCTTTATCAACATTACATTTAATTTAATCTCATGTAGCATCATGTCATTTTATCCTTCCTTAGTAATTCTGTATGATCACGCATTGGGGATAATGCATTCTTCAAGTTTGGGATGTATTAAACTGTTACATTGCATTTTAGTTACACTAGAAACACTGCTATGACAATTATAATGAATTTGAATTCTACTCTTCTTTTGGAAATTGGTTGCTTAAGCAAAATACTGATGATAATTGATGAAGAAATAAAACTTTTAGGTGTTAATTAATAGATAGAATTGAGTAATCATTATAAGATGTCTAGTTTTATTTCTAAGGAGTTCAACTACACACTACACTGACATGCAGACAGTTAATTTTTCCAAGGTAATGTGTTCAGTCCTGCTATAGCATAACTTTGTTTAAGAAAAAAAAATTACATTTCGTTGTTTAGTTAGCTAGAGTGCGCTAGGGGAATACACGCCATCATCAACACATCATTGACTGAGATCATATGTCAACTTGGGGAATTTGGTGTTCTCAAGTCTCCTCCCCCTATGAGGTGTGACCCCCCGAGTGGACACCACCCACTACTGTAAACATCATAAGCAGAGGGAACATGTTATCCGGCGTTGTATACACCTCAAGGACGTGGTGGAAGAGGCAATTAGAAATGGGATGCTAGACCAATTTGTGGAAGGTGACAGTTACTAGAATGAAGTCCGCTCGGAGGCATAGGCAGACCTATTCGACGAGTTATCAAAAGCCTGGTATTGAAAAGGCGATGCAAAATTCACTTCTTTAGAAGTGGATATTTCTACCATATGTGTTTATACGATGTGACTATAACACTAGAGATATATAGAATTACAAAGGCTCCTGAGAGATACAATGAGGGAACTTTTCTAAGACATGTAAGGAATCGCACCTTCGTATCAACGTCTAGCCTACAATGACATGAAAAGCTCTCGTAATAGATCGCTATACTACTCATACAGGTAACCTTGGTAATGGACGTTTGGTCTTTAATGACAAGAACAACTCCCTCAATGACTCTCCAGGAGACTTCTCACTTATGTACGGAGCAAACCTCCTCTTAACATATTTTCTAACATCTCTAATACACGTAAGCATTGGAGTTCTAATTCCTCCATGTAAGAATTGAAATTCTTACAGGATATTTTTTTCACTATTTCTCTAAAAAGTTTAATTTCCTCTACTATGTAGCCATAACGTCGAGATGGCTTCGCTCATTCTATATTATTTCTTCAAGAGCATTGAGATGCCTCCTCTTTGATCAAGAGTATCAAATTGCTTCCGTTATAAATACTCTAATTAAAGAAAATTTCCATTATCTATCTTTTGACTAAGAAAGTTGAGATACCTTTATTACGGATAAGTGAAGTCAAGATGTCTCCGTTCACTTCATGTAGCATTTCTTCCAAAAGCGTCGAGATACCTCTGCAAATTCTACAATCTCTCTACAAGGACATTGATTTGCCTCTATCTCAGCTTACGACTTCCTAAATCCTTTGGTGGGTCGAGTTGCCTCCGCTTCAAGTGGTGCTTAATGAGTTGAGCAACTCATGAACAACTTGAGTTCGACTTGATTAAAACTCAGTAAAAACTCGACTCGAGACTTTAACGAGTTGAGTTGAGCAAAGTCCAACTCAACTCAATAAGTTCATGAGTAGCTCATTAATTTTTTTTATAAAATTTTTATTAGTTATCTTAAATAATTATTTTATCAAAAAATT